AATTCTAGAAGCCTAACTCTCATTTTTAAGTCGGTTAAAATCCTCATGCTCGTAAAAAGGCGATGTTGAAGCATTGAATAAAAACACACGTTGAACAATCTTACTACGAAGGGTCTGTAAAGGACCGTATTTATAGTATATAATTCTAAAAGGCTAATCATAGTACAAAGGATTTATTTTTTAAACGAATTTTTTTATATTTTTGAAACGGAAAGTTTTTTGTTTCCGAAGAAAGTTTTGAAAAGGTAAGAATATTTAAACGGTAAGAATATTTAATTCTTACCTTTTGGCCTTTATTTTTGAAACATAATTTTTTTCTTTCAAAACAAATTTCCATTCTATTTTTATTTTTGAACATTTACGGTATTAATAACCTTTATTGGCGTGTAGTTATAGCCTTTTAATACTTATAATTAGCAACTAAACATCACAATTACCATATGTAATGACATAACATCTCTTGAAACAAAAATTTAAAATTTTTAAACAGAAATTTTAATATTTTTTATTTTTGAAATATAATTTTTTTCTTTCAAACATTTCCATTCTATTTTTATTTTTGAAAATTTACGGTATTATTGAATATTTACATAATAAAATATTATTGGAACGGAAATTAATAGCTTTTTATTACTTACCATGTAAACATCACAATTAACATATGTAATGACATAACACCTTTTGAAATGGAAATTTAAAATTTTTAAATGGAAATTTTAATTTTTTTATTTCTGAAAAAGAATATTTTTCTTTCCAAACAAATTTCCATTCTAGTTTTATTTTTGAAAATTTACGGTATAAATACCCTTTTATTGGTGTGAAATAAAAAATTGGGTTGAACATTTACGTAATAAAATATTATTGGAACGGAAATTAATAGCCTTTTATTACTTACCATGTAAACATCACAATTACCATATGTAATGGCATAACATCTCTTGAAATAGAAATTTAAAATTTTTAAATGAAAATTTTAATTTTTTTATTTCTGAAACAAAATTTTTTTCTTTCCAAACAAATTTCCATTCTATTTTTATTTTTAAACATTTACAGTATTAATAACCTTTTATTGGCGTAGCATAGATTATCAATTGAAGCCTAAGAATTTGGCAATATTCAGATTAATAAAAATTATCAATTGAAGCCGTAGCATAAATTAAACTAAGGAAAGAATACACGATATATGGAAAGAATAATTAAATCGCCACAAATCATGTTCATTTAATTCTCTTGCCACATCAATTTCCCAAATGTCACTCCTCAGCTTTGCCAAATGTCACTCCTCAGCTTTGCCAAATGTCGCATTCCTGCAGCTCCGTCTCTGATTTATATATATAAAGGATTGTATGTTTGATAAAATTAATAAGTATTATTTTTAACAAATTAATCATAGTTGTGTAAAAAAATTTGATTCCCTTGTTTTGAACCAAACACGAATAAAGGGAATTCTATTTCCTTTTCTATACTGGACCAAACAGACAGAGTAATTCAAGGGTAATCATTCTCTCCCCCTGATTCCCTTTCCTATTTCCTTTCCTTTTCCTCAACATGAACCAAACGCCCCCTTAATGTTTACTCATAAACACCAATTCAATAGCACGTTGTCGTTTTTTACAAAGAAAAAATGTGATCTGAAATAAGCAACGAATAAAAAATAAGCATTGGAATAATTTGGAGAACTGAAATAAAATCCAGATCGGATGCTCATATTATTAATAAAATAATTTACAATCCATTCATTTTTTTATATCACACTATTTTTTTTTTTCAAATATACTCCCTCTGAGCAACAAAATTTCTCTTTTCTTTTTTCATCCGTCCCAAAAACTTTTCTCAATTCTATTAAAAAGTCACTTTTAGTCCTACTAAATCTTAACCTATCTATCACATCACATTTTTAAACTATTAATATACACATCACATCGTATTTTTTCTCATCACATTCAAGGACATTTTGAAAAATCAACACTAAAATATAGTTTCCTTAAATTTTTTAAAAGCCAAAATCAGAAAGCTTTTGTGAGACAGAAGGAGTATTAACCATTTAATACCATTGAAGAAATGTGTATCAAATTATTCGTAATTAATTAAAAAATTATACTCCGTATTTAATTAGTGACCAAACTAGAATTTGTCAAGTTTAAGTGGAGGAAGTCAAATTAAATGAGTATTCTCAATCGGAAAGAATGATGGTTTCTGTGCCTCATATTCGATACTAACCCTGATTCTAACTGTACGAAACCACAAAGAAACTACTTCTTGAAATGGCTAACTATAACAGAAAGTAATTAAAGATAATACGTACTCGGTAATTCATACGGACTACTTGTTAGTTGTTACGCATATATAGGGATGTAAACAAATCAAATATTCTAAATTTGATTCACCCTAAATAAGACTAAATTATAGAAAAAGTATTGAAATATGTCTTCAATATTTTTATTTCCAAAATAGAAGTCTGCATTGTGGTAATGTGGCACTGTACATGTGCATATTACTATACTTTTTGGCAATTTACATGACCACGTTTGGTAATGTAAATGTAATTGATGGACAAGAATTCCACCAAATAATGTACTAAGACATCTAATAGAAAAATATTAATACTTGTTGAATAATTTAGAAAGAATTTCATTTCTCATACTCTTTATGATACTCTTTTTGACTCTGTTCCGTTCAACTTATTTTTTTTGATCTGATCTGATTTTTTGTAGTTCTGATCTGATATGATTGAATCCGATCTGATTTGATCTAATCTGATTAATTATGATTTTATTTAAAATTGAAATCAGTACTTTGATCTAACTTTATAATAACTTTTGAAAATTATAATGATAATTCATATTATAATATAATCAATATTTTTTATTCTATGATTATTTTTTAATGAAATAAAATTAGTTAATTAATATATTAGAATAATCATTCATAGTATAATGTAATAATATTTTTTATTTTATGATTATTTTTTTATGGAATAAGAATATTGATTTAATATTTTAATAATTAGTTCATACATACATTAGAATAATTTTTTAATTCATATAGACATTAAAAAGTAATTAAATTTATATAATTAATATAGAGAAGAGATAGTATTTTTATTAAAATATTTCATCCTTATAAAATATCAATGTTAAGCAAAGAAACAATGTATTTTTGTTTATCTTCTATAACAATATATTAGATGCTAGATGTGCTTGACAAAAAACGTTGTATGCTATAAATAATACATTGCATAAAATGTTACACACTCATATTATAAAACATTGATGAAAAGTGAGGAATAATGTACCTTGAAATTATAATCGCACTAATAAAATATCATTTTATTTTTCTCTACATAAATTATAATCGCACAAAAGTTTCATTTTCTTTCTTTTTTTATTTTTTCAAGAATAATTAAATTTATTTTTTGAAAGAATCGTATTAAGGGAAACAAGTAAAAAGTATGGAATTTAAAATAATAATAATAATAATAATTCTTGATTAGATCTGGTCTGATTGGATCTGATCTTATCTGATTGGATCTGATCTAATCTGATCCGATTAGATCTGATTTTAATAAGAATAAGAAAAAAACAGAAAAAATAAGTTGAACGGAACATGACCGAAGTAATATTAGTATTATAATTATTTCATGGTCGTCATATTATTGTATGTATATATATGTTCGTTGAATATATACAATTGAGATCGATTCAGAAGAATTTTTATATCATATAGTTCTCTTTATTTAAAAAGTGTCATTCCTTTTTTTTCCCACCAAAAGTTTCATTCCTAATTTAATTCAACAAATGAATATTTAAACAATAACAAAACACGCTAATAAAGGGTGAGTTTGACTAGGATTGGGATTTCTCATCTTTAACTTTATCTCAATTTCGTCGAGGTGAGCCCCTTTAGATATCAATTGTCCAAGGAAGCTATTTGATCATGTGCCTCTATGATTATTATTTTTTCCCGATCCCATTCATATAAATCTGTGCATGTATTCATAAAACTAGTTGTGCGGTAGGACGGAGGTATGTTTACACCATATTACTACATTATCATGTTTACCTTGGATTACTATTAAGGGTGGGGTTTGTACGTAGTCTGTGTTTATTGTCCTTTTTTTTAAGAATTTCTTTATATATAATGGTTTTATAGGCAAAAGATCTTGTGATTGAACGGCATAATTGTCGTTTTTCCCAAGCGACATAATCCAAGTATCAATACGGACAAATACTACATTGCAATAGAGTTAATAATCATAAAAACAATGTGGTGAATCGGTAGGTAAACTAGTCATAATTGGAAGTTATTAATTTTCTTTCGGTTCTTGCTGTTGATTATGTTTGCATTACATTGTTTACCAGTGAAATTACTAGGGCTCCGTTTGGTACTCGGAATTCAAAACATAGAATTGGAATTGGGGGCAACAATTCCAATTCTGTTGTTTGGTCGCACAAAAATATGTGGATTTGGAATTGGTAGTGCCAAAAATGAATTGGAATTGGAGAACTCAATTCCATCCAAATCAATTCCACGAAATTTCAACTCCCAATTCAATTCCTATTCCATCAATTCCATGTACCAAACGGACCCTAAATAATTTCCATTTATTACTAATTAATGGATTGCAATTTATTTAGTAATGTGCTCTTCAAATTTAATATGCGAGTCTGTCTCTAGATGATCATTGAACTGTTGTAAAGGATTTTGCAAATTTTTGGGTTTCTATTTTACTGACAGTTTTAGGTTGATATATACCCTTAACAAATTGGCTAATGTTCTCTTACTGTACACTCTCTGTATATATTGCTATGTCAATACACAATACTCAATGCATTGGGAATTCATACCAAAATATAAGCAATGATCCTATCAATCATTTTTTTTAAATGTAGTATGAAGCATCTGTATTTTATGATATTTTTAAATATATGAAGCATCTGTACTTGTTGATTTTAATATGGTTGCTATAATTCAAAATTAGTTTTGTGTATTTTGGGCAGCTACTTAAACTATATTGTGGTATTTCACGAAAAAGATGCTGCTCAAGGCATCCTATATCTTCCCCGATGTGGCATGTTTCTCTGCACAGCCAGCTAGCTCGCGGTCATTACAAGATGCGAGAAACTGGAGCCCTATAAGCAGAAAGGGGTTCAGCCGTTCTATTATGAAGTGCACTTACCAGCAGCCTGGGTCACTTACATGTAATGCTTCGAACAAGGGCAGTTTTCGCTGGGCGAAGGATGCAACTTGTCCTTCAATGACCTCAAAGCACATCCTCCCTGATGACAAAAGGCCAATGCTTGCGGATGTATCGGGTTGCTGTATTCCAGTCATTGACATGGACGCACCATCTAATGTTGTTATACAAAGTATAGCAAGTGCATGCGAGGAATATGGCTTTTTTCATGTCATAAATCACAAAATTCCACAGGAATTATGTCATAGCATGTTGGAAGCTGTTTTGGATTTGTTCCATTTGCCTCCAGAGGAAAAATCTCTGCTTTACTCGGACGATTTGAACAGGGATGTGAGAATTTGTCATCATTTTCGTAAGCATCAAACAAGCGCAGAAAAAATCCCAATGTGGAGCGAAGTCTTCAAGCATTCATGGCATCCTCATGACGATTTCACCCAAGCTCTGCCAATGAATCCTCCTCAGTATCGGTAAGACATTCTTTTAGCCATGCTTTTATCGTAAAACAAAATAATTATACAGAATGCTTTAATCTTCTAGTTAAGGACCAAATGTTTATGTACGATTCGAATAGCTCAGCTCACAAATTAATGCTCTTGTTTCTCAATGTCAGAGAGGCTATACATCTATACGCGAAGCATGTGGGTAACTTGATGACCTCACTTATGGGTTTCATGTCCCAAGGGCTTGGGTTGGGCGCAGATTGTCTTACTAATAGAATTGGTGAAAATCCGACATACAGGGTTCAAGCAAACTACTACCCTCCATGTCCAAGTCCAGAGCTCACCTTGGGGTTGGGCGTACATACCGATAGGGATGCCCTCACTGTTATCCTTCCTACACCGGAAGTGCAAGGGCTTCAAGTCATGAAAGATGACAAATGGATCATGGTAGATCCGATTCCGGGTGCACTTGTTGTAAATTTGGGGGACCAACTGCAGGTTAGTCCCATGTTTTCTTTTCTCTGTTTGTTTCTTATCAACTACAAATCATTAATGTAGATTACCTACATCCGGATATCATGTTTGTTGGTCTTCATTTTGAGCGAATCGATCATGTGTTTCTGATTTCTTTTGAAAAAATGTTTGATTGACACTTAATTTCATCTCGCACGAAGGTACTGAGTAATGGCAAGTACAAAAGTGTGCTCCACAGAGCCATTACCAACAACTCAAAGAGTAGAGTTTCGCTAGCGATGTTCTATGGCCCGAGCAAAGACACCATAATTGGACCCATTGAAGATTTGGTTGATGATAACCATCCTCGGAAGTATCGAAGCTATCGGTTCTCAGAATTCATTGATGAATTTCGTAGACAAGCAGGTAACAACAGGATAATCAAGGAGGCTTTTGAGGTAAGTGGATGAAGAGGGGCATGTGCAATTCATTCATGCTTGATGAGTTAGACCAACTGTATATAAACTATAGAGAAGGGTTAGATAGTACGGAGTATATGACTAATATTTTAATGCATACATTTTTGGAACTACCTTACCTTAAGGAATACTTATATCGTAATTTCATAACTACCCTTATTTTTGTACTTATTACTTATTCTTATTAGAATCAGATCAAAAATAGTTTTAAATATAACTATATTCAGATCACGCCAGATCAAATTAGAACCAATCAAATCAGGTGAAAAGAACATGAACTTTTGAACTTTGTCTCCAAATGCTTGTTTAATTACTACGCTTGCTTTGCTAACCTTTTTTAACCGCAATATTTGTGGCCTGCAGCAATATTTGACCTTTTATGTAAAGGTTTGTATTCTAACAGAAGTTTCCCGACCTGATGAATTGTTAAATCATTAAGAAGTAAGAGGCCCCATGTAGGTAATTGGGTAGAAAAAGCAATTAGCTTACTGATAAAAGATCAATAAGAAAACTAAATAAAGTACGGTGGGCTAATATCAAGAACAATGTCAAAATATGACACGGGCATCCACGGTGCTGTCGTTTAAAAATTGAAACTTCCATTGTTCTATTTGTCTAGTTTGACTTTTTCGAATTAAATAGCAAGATATTTAAACTTCAATTACTCTCAAATTGTAATGTAATTCAGTATAAAAATGATTTAATTAGATTTATCTTATTAAGAATTTTTATGATTGTATTTCAATATCCTAATATGTACTCCGTAATACAAATTGAGAGTACTTAAAACGTTTATCTAGTTTGACTCGAAAAAGTCAAACAGAACAAATACATTAAAAGGAAGGTAGTATTTATTTGTGTATTTAATTGAGTATTTGAAAAAATAAAATTTTTCTTGTCACGTGTCTAATAGAAATTTTGACATAATTTTTTAGTATCTATATTTTATTATATCAATTTTTAAGTAAAATAATTTTAAAAAATACACAATTTTGTCTCGTAAATAGAAAATTGAATTTCAAATTCAATTTTGCCTCGTAATTTTTACCCCATATTTTACATTTTTAGTATTAAAAAAAATGAGGGACAACAAAAATAGGCAATAAGAGGAGTTGGTATGCTTGCCACGTCAGAGTGATCGGTATCGAAATGCGACATTCCAATTGGCCAAAACCATTTTCCCTTATCCCCAATATACGAAGCAAAATATATCAACTCTCTTTCTCTCCTCTCATGTTCCGTATTTTCTATACTCTTCTCCACAAAATCGTTTCTGGATTTCATCTTCCCAAACGGCTTAGTTGGCTATGGCAGCCCAAGCTCATCTCCTCACTTCGACGCTCTCCGCCGTAACTACCACCGTTGATCGCGTGACGGCTCACGGAAAGCAGTCCTTCCTCTCCTTCCCCCTCCCACTGGCGGCGGCGGCGAAGAGCAAGTGCCGCCCCGTCCGATCCAAGGCGGAGGGACAGACGGCGGCGACGACGACAACAAAAACAACAACAAAGAAGGAGGATCCGGTAGGGTTTACCCCTCCGCTGCTAGATCCGAACACCCCATCCCCGATCTTCGGCGGCAGCACGGGCGGCCTCCTCCGGAAGGCCCAAGTGGAGGAGTTCTACGCCATCACCTGGACCTCACCGAAGGAGCAGGTCTTCGAGATGCCGACTGGCGGCGCCGCCGTGATGCTGGAGGGCTCGAATCTGCTGAAATTGGCCAGGAAGGAGCAGTGTATGGCCCTGGGAGCCCGGCTGAGATCCAAATACAAGATCAATTACCAGATCCACAGGGTTTTCCCTGACGGAGAGGTCCAGTACTTGCATCCCAAGGACGGAGTTTACCCGGAAAAGGTTAACCCCGGCCGCCAAGGGGTTGGACAGAACATGAGGTCGATCGGCAAGAATGTCAGCCCGATTGAGGTCAAATTCACCGGAAAAGAGGCCTACGAATTGTGATTTTCTCGGGTTTCTCTGAAAATATGGAGTATTTCACTGTCTCTGTGAGTGCCTTATGCTTTTGTTCACTGTAATTCTGTTCTCTGTTCATATTGGGGATACAGTTTCATGCTCAGATTGAAACATATGTTTAATTCTGTTCTCTGTTATGTACCAGTATGTGTTTAATACTCGTATATCAAGATATACGGAGTATAATTCTTTTTTACTTCTATACAACTATATTAATTTAAATCATTTAAACTTAAAATATAAAATAAAATTCTAATTAATAGAAATTTAAAATTCCAATGACAAAAGAAAAAGAAAAAAAGAAATATTTTATTAATATTAAAATTAGAATGACATAATGCGATTGAAAAAGGGCAGAATAAAAAAAGGTACAATTATTTAAAAGGTACTCCCCTTCCTCTCTAAATGATTTGTACATTTTATTATTAAAAAATCACAAAATTTTGGTTTATTTGTATGTTTTCATGAATTATTTGATAAAATAAAATTTCTTCTTACATCTTATTTTGTAGAATTTTTGATGTACTTTTTAAGTATGTGAATTTTATTTTTTATTCCTACATATCAATCTTGAAATAAAATGAATTAAAAAAATTTAAGATTTTACTTCGTTTTGCGTAAAATGTAAATGATTTAGGAACGGAGAGATTAAAAAAAGGTTATTCGTCATTCAAAGTGACTTGGTGAAATTTCACAAATGCTCAACTAAATCCGCACAAAGATTTTGATGTGTATGCATGTTCTCTAATGTAAATATGTTGAGATTTTGATGTGTTATGCATGTGCATTTGAAACAGTTCAAGAAATTGTTAGAAAACTTGGAGACGGTGAAATCATAACACAAATCTTTTTGCATTGTCGGTGAAATCATCTGATTATTTAGTGGAGCATTTTTTATTGATTTATCCAATTCAGAGTCATGCATCCTCAGTAGTTGTAGAGTTTCAAGAAAATGACCTTTATATGAAGACTCAATTAATTCATCATGCCCCCGGAATGAAAGTCCCCCACTAAGAAGAAATCTAGTGACTTGAAGGGATGCCGTCAACCGAAAAACATAATCATTTTTCACTTGTTGAGATTGCTTAACTGGAGCAGATGTAATACTTTGATCCTGATTCATCAAGTCTTCACATTTTTTCACACAATTGTAATGAGGACTATTAGGTCCCCCAGCATGAACGTCTAACCTTTTTTTCTTATTCCAAGTACTAAATCCTTTCCCTACAAAATGATCACCACCCAATTCCCATTCATTTTTGAACAAGTAACAAGGAAAACAAAATACAGCATCCTTCGCAATGCTACACTCCAACCAGTCATTTTTGACATACTAAGAAGTAAGAAATTTACGCTTCTTAGGTCGAATCGTCTTATACGGGAAATCATGACTTTTGGGTTGAAAGGGTCCTTTTTGAAGATAATTATGACGTACCTCATCTTGGACGTTTGGTAGAAAGTCAGAAGAATTCTTTCTTAATCCAGGGTCAGCTTCCAAAGACTCAAAATCAAAGTTTCTTTCAATAGAAGTGCATTGAGTGCTTTCTTGAACATGTGTAGGTTGAGTCACTTGAGTGGCTTCTTGAACATGAGTGGACTCGGTACTTTCTTGAATAACTAAAGATGGAGTATTTACTTGAGACACCGGAGCACTAACACTGTTACCAATTCCACTCGACTCCGAATCTTTGAATTTGGCTAGCTTTTTGAAGTACCTTTCCATTTTAAATTCTGTAAATTAGACATAAAATGAACATTAATACAATAATACTTATCACTTGCAATCCTGAATCAATTTTTTATTGAAGAAATTTTTTTGATTCTTTAATGAATAAGTAATGAATAAAAAATAAATGTATAAATTATTATATATTACTAAATACTAATCATATATTCATATATCAAACACCAAAGTTCAAACTACCATAAAAATTAATTTTAGTAAAATAAAGAAAAGTTTTTACCTTACCGTTGAGTCGCTGACGGAGTCCGGAGACCCAGGATTTGGACTGCTTGGAGTGCTGCCGACGGGAAGAAGATGACGCTGCCCACGCAGGCGACCTGCCGCAGGTCGGTGGCGGGCGGCGGCTGGTCGCAGTCTCGCAGAAGTCCAAACGACAAAAGCTTTAGGGAGTTAGGGTTCCAAAATCAAATTTAAAAGTGTAAAATAAAGAATTGGGGAAGAGAGTAGAAATTTACATAGAAAAGGGGAAGGGAAAACGACGTCGTTTTGATGCTAAATAAAAAAAATTGGCAGCAAAAAATACCCGAGCTCGGAGTCGAACCTCCGTCCGAAGAGAGCAGGGGTTAGGTGTATCAATGCACACTTCCACTAAACCAAACGCGCTTCTATTTTACATATGACAAGTGTTTTTTATATATTAATATTTATACAAACCTAATGCCTATATGGACTTACACCAGGGTCCGTAGGGTCCCGGGACCCCATAGGACTCAAGGTGGGTCTGCCTCTGGTCCAAACTTAAAATTAAACGTCAAGACACACCGGATAAACGGGTAAAAGTTAGGATCAATTTTTTTTAAAGTGTACGGGTATAATTACTATAGACCGTCCCGAGCCCGACCCATTAACAAGCCTACACCTAAGTGTTCAGACCTACCATTATACTTTTGATTATAGGGGGTGGTTCTCATGACGTTGATTAGCTATGTCATGGAATGACCCGGGAATCGTACGATACTTTGCTCGTAAAATTAATGATTTTTACCACTCCTAACTTCTCGGTAAACCCCTCATCCCCATCTTGAACCCATCGCCCCACCCCCCTTCAACCCCTCCGTCCCATATCTTTCTTCTCTTTCTTTTCAACCTCTTCCTTTTTCTTATTTAGCAAATAAATTTTATCAGAAAGACTAATTTACCCTTTTTATTTTTCATTTGTTTGAGGTCATGAGGGTCATCCCCACCTCTCTTCTCTTCATCACTCGTCAGCCAGCCCTTCCCCAACTTCTTCTTCTGCAACAGACCCCTCCCTCCACCCCCGTTTCTTCATCTTTTTCTATTTCTACTTCTTCAACTATTAAATAAATTTCGAGTAACAAGGTGAACGCAGATTTAAAGCATTGAAAACCCTGAAAAGAGTTTCAAATATAGGGTTTGATTCCAGAGGCTTAGACAAAATGTATGGGTGTGAGCCCTAAATTTGATTGTTGATTAGTCGAGGAAAAGCAAGCAGGCGACCATGACTTCACTGTCCGCGGCGAAAATGCTTCAATTTGGCGTCAATCAGCGGAAATCTCAGACCTCTCAGTTAAGGGATGAACAGTGTCCGGAAGAGAGCTGACCTTCAATTACACTACATCCATCCTCAAATCACCGAAGTTTAGCTCGGAAAGATGTTCTCCGGGTGATTGCGATTAAACAGCAGCAAGAATTTCAAAAAACGATCCACAAATTCGATGTTGTCACTTTTCTTCTTCAATTTCCAGTTTAATTTCTAGATTTGGATTTTGATTTTAATTTTGAAGAAGATGAATTTTTTTTTTTTTTGGAAAAAGAAGAAGATGAATTGATTTGTGGCGATGAAGTTGGGGCGGCTGGGCAGGTTGGAGAAGGAGACGTGTGACTCTGGCTTGGGGTGAAAGGGCAAAAGTGAAAATTGATCATCTTTTTCACCCTACATTACTCCCTCCGTCCCTAAATATTCACAACATTTGCTTTTTCAGCAGTCGCGGGAACTTTTGTTTAATTCGACGTTTTCATTGGTTATTTGATAAAATAAAATATTCTTAAAACCTCTTATTTCGAAAAACTTTTCATGTAGTTTTTTGATATGTAATTTTTATTTTTTATTTCTTTACCAATATGTAAATAAAACGAATTGAAAAAACTTGATATTTTACTTCGGTAATAGAAATGTGACAAATAATTTGGGACGGAGGAAGTATTATATACTCCCTCCCTTCAATAGTAAAGTTGATCTATTCACATGATCAAACTTTATTCTCTTTATTGATCTATTTTTCGTTTCTTATTTGATAAAGTAATATAGTCATGTAACTCTAACTTTGTAGATCTTTTCAGGTAATTTTTAAATGTGTAATTTTTATTTTTTAATTTTATACAATTTTTCATATAAAATGATTTGTAGAACAATTTTAGTCAAAAATTGTAACGCGCAACGAAAACGTTATTTATAGATAGAGGGAGTATATATACAGAGTAGAGGAATGCTAGGGGTACACCATTTGGGGTACCCCATTTGTACACCATCAATCTTAACCCTCCATTTCTTTTTTCATTTTTAAATTCTTTTTCCTCTCTTGCTTTTGTGTGGTGGAGATGGATGGGGTACAAATGGGGTACCCCAAATGATGTACCCCTAGCTTTTTCATACGGAGTATGATATAAAAAAGTAACTGAGCTTTTGTTTTAAAAAGTGATAGGCCCACCCCGAGCGTCCTCACACATCGGCTCAACAGGATTGTGAGAGAAGTAAATCATTGTATAATCCCAATCTGATCCTTAGAGAGACCGCCCTATACGTGGTGCGCATAAGGAGTTATTAAATAAAATAGAACTCTCACACTATCGCTGTCGAGATTTGATCCTAAAATCAACTGACTTGATTCTCTCCTGGACTAGTTGAGTTATCTATGCATTTTTTCCCAATTAAAATATACTCTCCGTCCTATAATGATCTTTCCAGAGCACTATTCCAACTTCACAAGAATTTATATTTATTTGTGTTTT